TTGGTTTTGACAGATCTTCACCTTGCTTAAAGAAAGAAATTGGCAGCTGAATGTTTAGTGGAGTAAATTATTGCGAATAATTGTATACTTACAAAAATAATTATTGTCAGTATACAAAGCCTTGGGCTTTCTTTCCAAAGTTTGACTTTCTTGCTCAGTGTCAGTCTCCTTAAATTTATGCTCAGCAGGTAAGGCAAAAAATATGCCCCAGAGGTGCACTTTCCTGGAGGGGGGGGGGGGGGGGGGGGGGGGGGGGGGGTTTTATTAATATAATTAATTTTTTGTTTCTTATAATATCTTGTTTTTTTTTTTTCAATGTTTTGTTTCTCACTAATTAGAAATACCTATAAATTTACGGCAGAGAGGGGAAAGAAAGAAGGGGCGCGGGAGGGGGGTGGTGGGGGGGGGGGGGGGGGGGGGGGGGGGGGGGGATGGGTATTGGAGTCAGGGACATGGCCCCACCCGAGGAGGAGCTAAGTTCTTTGAAACGTCATTCCCTCATTTTAAGACCTATTTCATGCAAATCGTCCATTGCTATCTTTAGACAACAATTTAAAACGTTTGATTCTAATAATTTTACTCTGCCTTTAATCTTCTCTTTCTAAAATGTGTGGCCCATAAAAAGAAAAACTGTGTAAACCTTAGTACTTTTCAATTAATTTCCTTGATCGAATCGGATCACAACTTGTAACTATACTACTTAATTTTCGTAAACCTTCAAGCGGTTGCAGGCAGTTAGAAGCGTTACTTCACTGAAAAATTAGGCAGTAACTTTTACCGGTTACCGCCTGATAAGGAGAACACTTTATAATGCTTTAACTGGGAATTTTAAAGGAATTTTCACAATAATTTGCTCATCTGTCTTTTTATTACACAAATGGTATCAAAGCTTTTCGATCAGCTAGATAATCAGGAAATTGATTCTTATACCACTGGTGATTATGCCTCGCACGGGGAACAAATGTTGCACAGCTGAATAAAAACCAGAATAACCCGGCTAGGGATCAAGTTCCCAAAGCCCAGCCAAACCATTCCAGCATTACACCAAAATAATTAGGGTATGACATGACTTCAAATAAACGGCCATGCGGAATGGAGTAACCTTCACTGTAGTTTGTTGTTACCTTGCGATAAGTGATAAGTCTGCGTAGCGATTGATGATAAAGCCTGCCACAAATAAACCTATGCCAATTATAAAGCGAGGATCCTTGTCGTAGTCTGGCATTGTAATCTGCTGCCCCAATCCAATCAGGATTGAGAAAGCTCTACAAGACATTGGGGAAAAGTCCTCAAGTGGAATTCCAGTAGGGGTCGTTGGACTGCTGTATTTCATAATCCAGGGGTGTATAAATCAACGATAAATGTAATAACACTGCCATAGGCAATAGAATGTTATCTTCGGATAGAGATATGTCCAGGAAGTGTAGAATTTTGTTAAATTTGTTGTTCTTGCTATTTTTTTGCCATATTTGTTGCTCAATCTTTTCACATAGCAGTAACAATTCTTGTTACTTTTGCGATTTTTGGGAAATTTGCTAATTCTTCTATTTCTATTTCTGAGAGCAGTTTTCTTTACATCTTTTTTGCTAAAGTTGCGAAAAGAACTTGTTAGCAAATTTTTGCTAACAAGATCGATCCTGGACATAGGTGATCTCTTGGAAGTCTAATTCTAATTTACCGACGAGCACCCACCTTACGTTCATAGAAGAGTCACTTACCAGGGGCCGGGTGGACCAATTGTTTATTAACGATTGAGTTATTTTTGAAAAAAACAAGTTTAATATGTGGAACAAAAAAATGTGCCTATAAAACCTTGATAGCAAGAGTAGGTAATAGAGAGAGATTGTTTAAGTTAAAACCTGTTATTTCAAAAGAGTAAGTGCCTAAAAAAAATATTAAAAACGGTTAACACGTTAATAAAAACATCTCTGTTAAATTTCCGCAACTCTGGGGTTCAGTTGCCCTCTTAACATATTCTCACTACTTACAATACACATGAATATACATTGCGATATGGAGGGGTGAAAGTGGTCGCTGTCCAAACGCTGTCCAGAGGTGTGGACAGCGGTACATTCACATGACTGTATTGAAGGCATCGCACCGCGTCATGCCTGGGGGATGGGAGGGTGGGTCGCTGGTCGCCCTCTAAGATTCTAAGATCGATTATTGTCAACTAGACATGCATTCAATGTGCTCACTTACAGGCGGTTTGACTGTTGTCAGTTATACAAAATATGTTAAAAAAGCATAATGGACGTTAGATAATAAATAAAAATGGTTTTAAAAATGTATATCCATTATATTGTACTACCAGCAAAATCATGTTTTACACTGATGTGTCATATCTGCTACATACCGTAAAAGTTAATTACACAATGTAGACTGTAAAATATAAAATTACGTAATTTCTTATAACAAACTATGCTCTTTATACTTATGAAAATATATTGCAAAAATAAAAACTTTTTTGACACTACGACTCAGAGCACTTTTCAGTTAACGCCCATCTGTCTCCTTGAGCAGGTTCTTTTTGTGATAGGTTCAAAAATTCCCAGCACTCCATTAATCAGAAAAAAGTGGATATCATTCGTTCCTTCATTCATATTTTCCCGCGTATGATCTGAGCAGCAGTCAGCATTATGTATTCATTTCTTCAATAAATTCTCTGCGTCGTTTGTGATTACCCGGAGTAACTATTTGCATTTCGTTTTACCGCACTTCATTAAAAGTAATTTTCTTTGAAAAGCGTACTTTTAAAACTATGAATGCTTTATCAGACACTTCACACATAAATAAAAACCGATCTATCTACAGTTGTACGTAAATTCGAAAAACTATCTTAAACAAACACTACACAATTCCTCGATGTATACAAATGCTTAACTACTTTGTAATTACTATGTATACTTTAATCGTTATAACAAATTTTAACTTCTATGTAAATTGTATTCTTACTTGAGTAATATTTATTACAATACGGAACTTTTTTTTCATTACTACAAATACCTAACTAATATGCAAATTTAATTCTCAACTTCAGTACCTAACGACTATTAAGAGTTCCCCCCCCCACCCCCTTCAGAAAAAAAATGCATAACTTTTATTTTAAATTTCTGCAGTCGCCCCAAGAGAAATTGAGGACAATGCTTAAGTAAATTTTTGGGGTCAAACAAGGTATATTATGGGAGATGTGCAAATGGCGAACAGACCAACGAATAGACCAGTTTTCATTTGTGTGCTCAGTGGCCTGGCCTTTGAATAGAAGCGAGGATGGTAGTGACCTAGCTTTGTTACAAAACTTTTTGTTTTTACATATATTCACGAGCTGGTTAGCTTACGATTTGCGCGCGAAAGCAGGGAGATTTGTAAATAGACAAGTTCACCTCCATCCTTGCTTCCATGCAAAGACAAAGCCATTGAGAACATGACTGTAAAACGGCCCATTTCCACGGTATATTTTCCAAGATGGAGACAGCAAATTTCGAAGACTTAAAAAATCATAAGAAAAAAATCGCGTTTCGTTGGAATCAACAAATTTCTTAGGGGAACATCATTGCCTGATGTGTATATTCGGATGAGACAAAAAATTCGTTATCGGCACTTTAACTTTAATTATCTTTTCACTACAAATACCTCAGTCAATAACTACACTACAAACTGTTTTCTTAACAACAAATACATTAAGTAACATCAGGTACTCTGTAGATCCGTACATAGCCTGAGAAAACAGCCGACATTTGACGCCACCACTGGTTTCCCCGCGAAATGACGTCTAAGAAACGAGCGCAGAAATTCCATACTGATGACGTGTCACCACCCATTTCTGAGCACTGCTTCTGATTGGTTGAAGCGAATTTTCCTCGCGGCACGACCAATTAGAAGCACTACCCAGATCTGGGTAGTGAGATGTCAGCAGTATGACATTGGACAACGTTTTTGAGCAACGCACGTCAACCGGAAGTGAACGTTTTTTTTCTCTTTTAATGCCTTGACGCCACCATATTTGTATGGCTAAGTGGCTTTACTCTTATAGAGACAAAGGTTTGTTCAAAATCACGGCCGAAGAGTGCAAAAAGTCCACTTCCGGTTGACGTGCGTATTACTGCGCTCGTTCCTCAGTTGTCATTTCACGGGGAAACTAGTAGTGGCGTGGCAAATTCGTCTGTTTTCTCAGACTAAATCTGTACAGGAAAAAAATACGGCTTGTATCTCGTAGTGAAATGTCCGCAGTATGACATTGGACAACGTTTTTGAGCAACGCACGTCAACCAGAAATGAACGTTTTTTTTTCTCTTTTAATGCCTTGACGCCACCATATTTGTATGGCTAAGTGGCTTTACTCTTAGAGAGACAAAGGTCTGTTCAAAATCACGGCCGAAGAGTGCAAAAAGTCCACTTCCGGTTGACGTGCGTATTACTGTGCTCGTTCCTCAGTTGTCATTTCACGGGGAAACTAGTAGTGGCGTGGCAAATTCGTCTGTTTTCTCAGACTAAATCTGTACAGGAAAAAAATACGGCTTGTATAATAAGCATTAATCAAGCTACTCCGATCTTATAAAATAATGGGGACCTTACAAAGCTACGACTACGGCGACGGGGCAAAGATTAAACAGCTACTCTGTATGCATCTCCATAAGCTTTTCTGTCAATTTCTTTGAGGTCCCTACACAACTACGTCGTGAAATGGCCAAATTTAAAGTTTTCTTGAGAACGTGAAAACACTGAACGAGTTGGAATAATCCGAAAATTTTAAAAGCCGGACACGAAGTTTTCCAGTGACGTTTTTACTGGTGTCGCCGGACTCATATCGCCAGGTCCCTAATGTAATAACCGTTGTTATAATCATTTTTGGCTTATACCTTGACCATAATGTATATGTCATAAGTTGTTATAAAGTAATACGGTGATGGAAGCATCATAATGTTAGCGTGTACCAAGTTCTCTGCCTTGAAATTCCAACTGCTCTGTCGTTCTTCCATAACTATTGTCAGCAGTCACCATTAAGAATTGTTATTTAACTGCTCCAGCTTCTCAATAACCTCTTCCGTGCTGGGTCTCATGTCTGGATCTTCTTCAATACACCACAGTATCAGCTCTCCAAACTTCTTGTTAGTAACCAGTCTCGCTTGTTCCTCTCGCTTTTCAGGTTCTGGCAGTTCCCCGGTGCTCATTTCACAGAAGAGAATTCCAAAACTGTAAACATCAATCTAAGCCAACAAAACAAATTACCTGAATTAAAGTACATCTTTGTTTTTGCTTGCTATCTGTTTTTGTTACGCTACAAAAGGTCACGAAACCTTCAGGTGTTAATATCTCTGTTGAGGGTGGGAACCTGACAACAGAGACTTTAACATCGGGGTTTGACCATCTTACCGCAAACAGGGTAAACCGCGGTTAGTGGTTTCACGTTAGCCGTCTGCTTGCCATATTTGGGTCTTAAGATTAGTGGGTGGTAGCTCACGGCTGCCATGTTCGTTTTCATTTATTTGATTAATTCATGGACCGCAATTTTAGCTGAGAGATCGTCTTCAAAATTACGTTCAGATGCAAAGATGTAGTTCAGGGGCCGGTTGCTCGAAGCCTGGTTAGCGCTAACCGTTGGTTAAGAGGTATCAAAATGTATAGGTTTCCATGGTATTTAACGCTGGTTAGCACCAAACATGCTTCGAGCAACCCGGGCCAGATGTTCAGATGAAGTTCTAAAACGTGGTATACCTCCCAAACGTGGGATTGTGATATGTTAGGGTACAAAAAACGCTGGTGGTAAATCCCCTAGAGCGTGGTCTAGCCGTACAAACGAGAACCACAAATCGCCAACCTGACGGCAAGGCACTTGTCACGTGATTTCGACGTTCGCAGTTGACGACAACAACCGAAAAACCTCAATCTTAAGATCTCTTATAGTCACGTTTAAGGCAAACGGAAAACACGACATGTAACACCGGCACGTAACTAAGCTTTCCATTTACTTGTCTTCTATTGTTAATTCACTAATCAAAAATTAGACTAGTTTTACGTTAGGTTTATCCAGGAAAATTGTTTTGGACTATTTTTGTCTGCTCGTTTTCTATTGTGAGAAATTGGCAACTTGAATCTGACGTTTACGTTTGCCATAAACGTTCACCCTAAATCTCTCTAATGTAGGCCAGTCGATGGCCTTGAAATATGCTTCACCATAGCCAATACTTCACCACGAACAGTTACAGCGAAGTTTATTTTGCCCGATGGCTCCGTTATAGGGGCAAAAGCTGCTAAATTTCAATATCGGGATCCTGAAAAGGTATTATTTCTCGTTTTTGCTTGGATAACTAAAATAACAAATAAACAATGCATTAGATAATTTTACAGAAAAATAGGACGGAAAAAATAATAGCAGCAAAACAAAATGTACATTTTCACAACCCTTCCGAAATTGCTCTTTAAAAAAAAAACGTCTGGCGTCAGTGGTGACAACAGTATGAAAGACAACATTCTTTTACAGCTATAATAACTACATGAGAGGTTGGAATAGATATTAGTGTTGTTCATATTGAGACAATTGCGCAATCTACACTGGATTTAAGGAAAGTCATTAACCTTTACTTTACAAACTGATTCCATATAATAGACTTACCTTCACAGTTTGCTTGAAAGGACAACATATTTCAGGTGCGGCGTAAATCATAACTCCAGGAGCAACTGTCATAGTTTCCTGAAGAAATTTAGCAGTTCCATAATCCCCAAGTTTGCCTCTCCACTGGTTATTCTGTTTCCACAGCAAAACATTAGCGCTACTCACATCACGATGTACAATTGGTTCAGGTTTTCGTTGATGAAGGTAGTTTAGGGCTCGAGCGACATCCAAAGATATAAAAATGATTTCTGTTTCGGTGAGATGTTTATTCTCTTGTTGTCGCTCCCTTAACAATTTTCGTAAACTTTTTTCCATGATTTCTGTAACAAACAAAGGACTTTCGTCTTGGGTAGCCCCAATGAATTGTAACAAGCATGGATGGCGGCACCTTGAGGCTATATTCATTTCTCGTTCAAACAAACGGCGCTCTCGTTGAGTAAGAGTCGGTTGATGAAGCTGTTTTATAGCCACCACACAGCCACAGTATCTACCTTTCACAACTCGTCCCAACACCCCCACGCCCAGACTTTCGTCACTTAACTGAACTTCATTTCGGCAAAGGACCCACTCGCGTGTCTTTAACTGACTTTCATATTCAGTTAGTTTTTCTTTAGCTCCGGAAAGGTCTTTTTCGAGCACAACGTTGTCTTGTCCACAATCTCTCAACTCTTTTCGTAAGTCAATCAGTTCTTGCACCCTCACATTTAATTGTTCTTGCAATTTGGCGCTTTCTTTCTTTCTATCACCTTCTAAAGTGCTCAACTGTCTTTCTAAACTCTGTTTTTGCTCATCTTTTACTCTCAGTTGCTCTTGTGTTCTCCTCAGTTGCTTGTCTTTTTCTCGTAGTTGCTTTTCGTTTGTTTTAAGGTGCCCCTCTTTCACTCTCAGTTTCTCCTCTGTCGCTCTCACTTGCTCATCTTTCTCCCTCACAAGCGTGCTTTTTCTCGCAGTTGCTTCTCGTTTATTTTAAGCTGCTCGTCTTTCACTCTCAGTTGCTCTTCTGTTCTCCTCAGTTGCTCATCGTTCTCCATCACTTGCTTGTCTTTTTCTCGCAGTTGCTTTTCGTTTATATTAAGGTGCTCCCCTTTCACTCTCAGTTTCTCCTCTGTCGCTCTCACTTGCTCATCTTTCTCCCTCAATTGCTCGTCTTTCTCCATCACAAGCTTGTCTTTTTCTCGCAGTTGCTTTTTGTTTATATTAAGGTGCTCCTCTTTCACTCTCAGTTTCTCCTCTGTCGCTCTCACTTGCTCATCTTTCTCCCTCAATTGCTTGTCTTTCTCCTTCACTAGCTTGCGTTTTTCTCGCAGTTGCTTCTCGTTTATTTTAAGCTGCTCATCTTTCACTCTTAGTTGCTCTTCTGTTCTCCTCAGTTGCTCATCGTTCTCCATCACTTGCTTGTCTTTTTCTCGCAGTTGCTTTTCGTTTATATTAAGNTCAAAACTGGTAGATCTCTTAAATCTTCACATACACAGATACAGTAAACCCGCGTTTAAGAACCTCGTGGGTTAAGAAAGACCTGCACGAAATTTGCCACTTTAATACCCAAAAATACAAGAACATGTTTAGCCAAGTATTAAGATCATGCAGGTTCTTATATGCGGTTACAGGTAGATTATGATTAATATTTTAACCAAGGAGTTTGACTTTTAGATTACAAATTATACTAGAAATAACAGTAAAAACCCGCAACTAAGAACCTAAAAATTAAGAGCCTGTTAGCCTAAAATTGGTCATTTATACCCCCTATAAACAAGAACCTATTTAGCCTAAGAAATTTAAAACAGGTTCTTATTTTCTAAAATCATACTAGTACATTACAGCTGCATTGCAAGAATCATATTTGAAGCAAAAAAAGCAGATTGCCATTGTTGTAAAAAGAAAAAAGAAAAGAAAAAGAGAAAAAAAAAAGAAAAATGAGTGCAAGATATGTTTTTTGGAGGGTGGGGTGGGGCTGAAGAAAAATTATAAAAGTATAAGCTATCGACCAACTTGTTTGCAGCTGTGTTTTAATTGTTTTTTCTCCAGGATTAAGAACCCATTTTAAGAACCTAAATAGCCTAAACTTCTGTTAACTACCATTTATATAAGAACCTGTTTAGGCTAACTCCTAAAAATGTAGGTTCTTAGTTGCGGGTTTTTACTGTACGTGTATCGCAGAACCTTGCGAAGCCCTATAAAATGACCAAGTTAGTACGCGCGCTCTGATTGGCCGAGAGGAGTGTTTGCATGAGAGTAGGTAAACGCAGTTGTGACTTCAAAGTGTCTTGCTTTTTGCGCGCTAATCACGCAAGCACGAATTTGAAAAGGGTTTTGATTTGAAAACTCGACAAGTTTACTTAACCCATTTCCTCGTCGGCTGAAACTTGGAAAATCTTTACCAACTTGCTCTGTCAATTTTTTTCGCTTAAGCTGACAATGTAAGCGAGAAAAATCCTTATTTCGGAAAGCATCTTTCTTGCAAAACAAGAACTGATTTCGCATACAAGTCTTCGTGTACTGCATTCGCGACTGGTAAGAATTTCTTTTCTAATTAGTGCCTTAAAAAAACAGTTTTGCTTTTATTCTCGGGAAAATTATTTCAAAAAGCAATAGAAAACTTTTCCCTGTATTTGCAAAGACTGATATATACAATGAGGGGTTGGGGCACCGTTATGCAAACCCTCGACTTTATCTCGGGTTTGCATAACTGTCTCGAATTCTACCAAACCCTCTCATGTTTATATTAGGCAATGCAAACACAGATAAGGTATTCTTTTGCTTAGAAAATACTTTAGTTATCAACGTCATTTATTTACTTTGTTTTTATTGTGTTAATTATACAACTCTCGTTATAAAATAAAATTACATCAGTATAAATTTACCTCTGATCAGTTTTGTTAGGCTTGTCAATACATACAGTTGTGAATAAATACTTTTAAAAAAATTGTCCTTGTCGCCTGTTAGTCTCCCACGCAGGCGTTTTTGGGGGAGTCGTATTTCCTCCCTCCCGTAAACCGAAAACGCTCGCGTTGGAGGCTATTCGCTTCTAAGATTGTACCGGAGCGTTCCAGGAAGTAGAGCAAGTAGGCCAAATGCTTGTAGTGTCCTGGTAGCGTGGACTGTTGATGACTTACAGCCACCATCACCATTATGTATGCAAACACGCAGTGTTAAAATAATCGTTATACGATCCCTTATTCAGGTCGAACCAGTCAATATACAATGAAGTATGCGAAAAAAATAAAGGCTGCGTCAACTATATACTAAACATTGCACAAAAGGACTTACCAAGAAAAGTATCAGGAATTTGAAGTACCAGAAAACTTGCATCACCATTTAGCAAATAAGAATATACACAAGCATCATACTGTTAGTTGCACAATCCTTATAGATCAGTTTCCTTGAAGTCGCTAAACCTATCTGTATTACTATGTATTCGGGACCCATTACAGCTTTTATATGCAACTACTCACTTCAAAGAAAGAGTACGTAACACTTTTAGCGTGATGATTCCCCCTCGGAGGCGAAGATATGTATGAAAGTGAACAGTATATGAAATTTCATATAAGTACAAAGAAGAATATGAAAGGAATGAGATGTGTAAAGGTTGCTTTCAGTATATAGACATTACATAACAGAACATGCTAAAGAAAGAGGTTAGGAACTTGCTTACACATGTATCACCATTTAGCAAAGAGAGAGTATGTCAGCTTCCAGTGTTTGCATGTTAGTATCTGCACAATATTATCCCCTCAGTTTTAGGTCTATGAAACTGCGTACGTAAGGCAATACATGTACAATACAATATACAATACTCTTTATTTAACGTGGTCAATGTTCTTAGCTAATTAGTTACTTTACAGACATGCCACGAAAAATAAATATATAAATAAACTAGAAATAATAATACAAATCAACGTGAGTGAAAGAACATTACTGACAAATCACACGTGTCACTCATTTCATACTGCATGCGTAACGTCTGATCATACACCGGAAATTTTACCAAACCAGTTGAGTTTTACATACTGGTGACTTGCCCTCGACTCACCAAGCTATCTTTGTAAGAATGTGCTGCTGTCTCACCCGCCAAGTTGCAATACTACGACGAAAATCGGACGAAATTTCGGCTGCACACTTTCATCGGTGAAGGTGGGGTGGGGGGGGGGGGGGGTGGGGGGGGGTAACCGGGGGCAGGCCCCGGAGCAAGGAAAAGTTTGGGGGGGGGGGGGTTTACTGTCTTTATAGGGTTTTATTAGGATGGCGTCTTTTTTCGTTCCCCAAAATATGGGTTTGGGGCGGCCTAATATTTTATTTTTTCCCATCCCCCTTCACCTCGTCTATCCACATGCCCACTCTCTTCACAACCTCCGATTTTTTTACCTCACTTTTGGACTTTGACACCCCGCCGCCTCGCCACCTCCCACGCAAGTGTTTTTGGGAAGACTGTCCTGCCGCCCCACCGGCAGAGTGCGAAAGGCAGGAGGGGGAGGGGGGGGGTTGGGGGGGGGGGGGGGGGGGGGGGGGGGGGGGGGGGGGGGGGGGGGAGCTGGGAGGGGATAACCGAGTGCAGTCTCAGTAGCAAGTAAACGTTTGAGTGGCGTGTGTTATACTGTCTTAATAGTGTATATTAAGGATGTCGTCTTTTTACGTACCACAACATATGGTCTTGGAGCGTCTCATATTTTATCTATTCCCAAACGCAATACAACATCATATGGACTAACATGGATCAGATATTTAGGGGCCTAACTCATTTATGGAATTCTCTCAAAGATAATATAAGATTATCTCAGGATCTTAGTTCTTTTAAAAACCTAATATTCAAAATTGACTTTGCTGGTATGCAGTCATCATTATATCTTTTATTATGTTCAGTTTTTATTTTAGGCATTTTGTAGCTTTAATACTTTTTGCTCGCTCAAACTAGCACGAGTGTACTGTATATTGTAAGCGAGTTTCAATAAAGAGTCTATCTCTGCTGCTAGGATTGGCAGTGATAGCTGCAAAACAATTTACTAGATTCATATATGACACATGTCTTACCTACTGCTAGGATCAGCAATGATGGAAGAGTACTGTATAATGATACAGAGACACTGGTGGGAAGGCTGCCAAGCCATTTACTAAGTTCATATGTGACACACGTTTAACATACTGCTTGGATCAGCAATGATGAAAGAGTACTGTATAATGATACAGAGACACTGATAGTTAGGCTACTAAGCCATTTACTAGGTTCATATGTGACACACGTCCTACATACCGCTTGGATCAGCAATGATGAAAGAGTACTGTATAATTAACAATTATTCTTTGAAATCGAGGTGAATAGTGGCAAAATATTTACCGAGCCACGAAGTGGCGAGGTAAATATTCCTAAAACCACTATTCACCGAGATTGAAAAGAATAATTGTTTTAGTATATACACACGAAGTGATCTCAACAAAATCGGAGAGGAAACCATTAAAAAGTACGATTTGATTGACAGATCAGGTCAACAAGACCTTGCGACAGTTTAAAAATAGATCTTGGTAGAATTTTCAAACATGGCAATTCACAAGCTTATCACTTCGCAAACAACAGCGTAATGACTTAAATAGAACCGCTAAAAGTTTGAATTGTTTCCTTACCTGAGAAGAAAAGAAGAGCTTTGTTGTTTTCTGTTGACTCGCCAAGTTTATAGCCGAAAAGATTTGTTGTATCGTTCTTCGCATGAAGTGCGGACAAAAATGGCGATTCCGTTCCTTGAGGTGAGACGTCGTCTTCATGTAGCATTCTTTCTCGTGTTTACTTGAAACGTAGAATTTGTGCAAACATTTGCTTTCAAATTTGTTTGTCATAAATAAACTTCGTCTTTGGGCCAAATTTTTCTTGTTAGGAAACGCTGAGTTCACGAAACGGCCTCATCTAGGCGAACAAACGGGAGTTGTAAACAATCCATCGACCACAAAACTCAAACAACGGTAAATGGAAAAACGCCGTTTTGAATCCTTCGAAGTCTTTTCTTGCCTGAAAAAAAGTCAACCCTAGGATTTTGTCGACTTTTAAAAGATCTTTCTCAAAGAAAATAGGAAAAAACCGAGCTCACACATTATCCACTCGCTGGGAGGTGAATATTGTTGAATAGTCCGAGATAGCGAACCAATCAGATTGCTTAAATCACCAAGATCACTGAGTGTGTATATACTAATGATACAGAGACAATAATTGTAAGGGTCAATATACTAAGTTATTTACTAGTTTTATATGTGATACACGTCCTACATACTGTAGGATGAGCAATGATGAAAGAGTACTGCATGTACAATGATATGAATATATATATATAAAGACACTTATAAAGACACTTCTAAGGCTATTAACTGTCCCTTCTATGCGGTTCTTCCAAGCAAGATCACAGCATCAAGCACCAAACATTACATTGCAAACGATGGGATT